ATAATATTCTATCAACAGATGCATATTGTGCACATAAAAGAAGAATACAACTCTTTATCCCAGGCTGTAAGAGACAGCACAGGCGTGGCTGTTCTTGGATTCGTCTTTGAGGTGATTTGCTTTGATAACTGTGCAGAAGAAAAAAGTAGAGATCTCATTCAAATAGAAGTTGAACATACTGTAAGTTATTTGTTGTTCTGGACCAGCATCCTTCCAGGGTTGATCCTAAACTATATTCTCCTTCAATCTTAAACTCAGCTTTGTTGGATGGATGTGAAAGATTTGCAATTCAATTTGTGTGAAAATGCTCCTTACAATGACCTCCATTAAATAACAAAAGAGAAATAATAGGCCCGAGAATCAAGCGAGGATAAAAAGTTTAACCCAAAAGACATTGTAAAACATTTTTGAATAAAACATTTTAACATTTATTTTGGATCAAATGTTCCGTCAGCATCTGTTTCATCAGACAATCTACATTTTCTTTTCTTTTGCAAAACTGTTACCCAGAACATTTAGCTTTTTTCCTTCCAGGAGTCGAAGTCTGCAAACAAGAAATTCGATCCCCTTATTAACGCTCTGAAAAACATCACACAACCCGGTGAGTGCTGACGTGGAAATGTAAGATGATTGTTCTTCAATATCTTATCATTAGCAATAGGGTTCTAAATACACCGTTCTGGGCTGAAGGGCAATTGTAATGTGATAAAATAATGCCATAAAATACATTATTATCATCTCAACAATGAATAGATTAAAAAGCTGTCACCTTGAACCTTTTTGTTGTATAACAATTAATATCTTGCTAACAGCCTTGCCTTGTTAATATTTCATTAAAAACAGGCAACAGCACGACACTGGAGGGTGTATCCCTGGAAATGTTCACACCTCCTCAGAAGAACATGACCAAGTACTTACGCTATAATGGCTCCCTCACTACACCCGACTGTGCTGAAGCTGTCGTCTGGAGCCTGTTCGAAAACACGGTTCCTCTCAGCAGAAAGCAGGTGATTAGTTTCACAATAATACATTGAAAACCTTTATCTGCAGTTTTTGAAGATGGTAAATGGACTGCATTTTCTGCTTTTTCACCTGTCTGTTGTGATTTTCGATACAGCTTGCTGCATTCTCCCACCTTCAGTTTTCTAATGGAGAGCAGATGGTCAAAACCTTCAGACCATTGCAGCCTTTGAATGGACGGCAGGTGTATTACTCAGGAGGTCATGCTGCTCTGGTTAGCACTGTGTTATTGATCATGTCAGTGCTGGTATCCTTAATGAATGAATATGTCCACTGATGATTGTCTAATACATGGAATAAAATGTACTGAATATGTACAACTAAGACTTTAAGCACTGTGTGTGATTTCTTCGGTGTAAAGACAACCTCTTACTTCAAAACATGTGTCATTAGTATTTACTTTTGTTGTCGTATACTGTTTATCAAATAATTTGTATATTTACGCTCTTAATTTGGCACGGTTGCACGGTAGCTATGTACATAACAAATGTACAGACTACGGGACTAATTTAAGGTGTTATAATAGTGCCTCTTGTGATATGTTATCTCAATAAATGTCTTATGATACTGGAAAGCTTCCTTCCTGCATGTCGTTCCTCAGTCATTGGAACTCTGAACTGTCATTTATTTCAGTTCTGAGTCTTATCAGTCATCTAATTGATGTTGTGTGTGGTAAAACGGTTCAGACTCTGATACAGACTGTTTCATCTCAGCTGTTTGTGAAACATTGTGCAAGTATTATTAAAGTTTAAGTGTGACTCCTGCATCGTAGAGCATTATTAGAAAAGTATGGTAATTATTTGGGGGGCATGCATTGTCTTAGTTACAGAGATGTCGTGACGACGTATCACATGCTGTTCTCCCCCCCATTAGATCACTGTATTGCAGTTGGTATCAGTCAGTCACCTCCACTATCATCCACTATGTGGCAGCAGCAAACAAGTCTGATATGCAGTTTGGAGCCATGATGTAAGGAATTGTTAGATGTTTGAATCTAATCTGAATATTTCGATTTTCAGACAGGCTTCCAGTTAAATTTAGGATGTGTTTTAAGTCCCTTCATATTACCTTTAAGTCACTCAATGGTCTGGGCACAAAATATATTGCAGATATTTAAATATATTGTATTAGAGAAATAGAAATGTAAATGTTTAGTTGTTTTTTTACTCAAATGTTAAAGGTTACACCTATTATCAGTAGGCTTCTTGCGTATTTGAGCATTTTGTATGGTCTGCACGTTGTTTGTTGTCAGCTGTGTGTGTGTTGAAGAAGGATTAGCGCTCTCTCACACTCTTGCTAACCTTGTATTTTTTGGACATGACAACATTAAGTTCTTCTTGTGTCTTAAACAATATCTGCTTTTTATTTGGACGTTTAGCATCAGATCTCTTCTCTTTAAAAAAATACTGTACTGTATATGGGTGTATTTCAGTGTCTGAGGGTTTCTGGTGGTCTGCAGAGTTCTGGTGACCGTGACCCCCACCCATGAGTGAGAAGCCCTTACTTCCTGCTGGAGTAACAAAGAAAATAACTAAAGGCAGTAGACACAGGGAAGGCCATGCCAAAAAGTCATCAGTCCAATGCAGCTACACATCATTTCTTTAAAAGAAACGCAAGGTGTAATTGCACAACCATAAAATAAATAGTACATGCAGAAAGAATTCTGACTGCCCCCTTCAACAAATATATTCCAAATATACATTTTTACTTTTGGGTAGACTTACAGAGCCAGCAAATAAATGGTATCTTATTCAGGGGAAGTAAAATGCAGTTACATTTATAATTTGGGCCATTTTAAAGAAATCACCTGTTTGGAGTCACACGTTTGATAGACTCATCATAACTGTTCAAAATGTTTACATTTGAATGGTTTAAATTGGATTTGTTGTAGGCAATACACATACAAAACTTAAACTGCAGCCACCAACCCCTGTCTGGGAGCAATTAGTGTAAACATAGATAAAACATAATTCAATCAGTCCGAAGCAGAGTCTTCGGAGGACAATACCTGCAGCTGTCATTAGATCATTCACTTGTTTTTGGCACCATCACTATTCAAACCATCGTAAATACTCAAGGAGCTGACTTTGGATTTAATCCCATGTTGTACAGGAATAGATATCGGATGCAAACACAGCCTCTGGCACAGCAGTGCTGAGATAATCTGCAGGGTGCACAGTCATGCTCGGCTGCTGCAGAGGGTCAGCCTGTTTGTTGTTGGACGACATATAAGGACTAGTTTTCACATATTGTAATCTTTGTGAGGGTACATGTGTTGCTTTACAGTAAATCATTTAGCATCTGATTTTGTGCAGCAAAATAAACTTCTTGTCAACTCCTGCACTTGCAACCTCTTTTTTTTAAAGTCTGATACATTACTGCCTTGCTTGTCTTTTCTTTTTTACTTTTCTCACAAGCACCTCCTTTCTCGGTTTGTGCGTGCCACCCATCCCCCACTTCCTCTTATTTCTCTTGGTGTGACTCTGAGGTTTGGGTTGTCGTGACAACAGAGGACACAGGCCCGTCTCTATTCTATTTGCAAAGTTTCTGTTGTTGCAAGCGTATTGCACATTTGCTGCTGGGATGGGGAAGAACCTCTCACCACCACCACCCCCTCCCACACCTTGTCAGAAACACGCAGGCGTGAATGAGTTCTCAGAAATAAAATCGAGATAAGAATCTCTTCCTGTATCTATAGTAAGAGACTTTTAGCCTTGCATGACTGTAAAAGATAGACTAATTGAAGAACAGTGCTAATGGTCTGCCGCATCTCAAGCCCCTCTCCAAGTGTGCATTTAATTGTTTAGGTTTTATGTTTCTGTCTTTTATTTTAAGTTTATTGTATTGTTGCATTGTTGGAGGAGCCGTAGATTTAGGATTTGCATTGCCAAAACTACACTGTAGCTATAGTGCATATGACAATAAAGCTTTTAAATCTTTGAATCTTTGGAATCTTTAATGGCACAATAATCGGTCTGAAAACATATGCAATTAACATCTCTAAAATAAACTCACTTTGTGAATAATGTGCTATTAATCTTGATTTACTTTGGACTTGTATAATTATATTTGGTCTGGGAACATGCCTCAATGCTGCACCACTACAAAGTGTAATTTCGTGAGATTATTCAAACACATCCACATTCATTATAACTTGGATACATTTTTCTGCTTTAGTGTCTGACTTCTCTCTTAAAAGCAGGTGTCAACTCTTAACTGCATGTCCTTAAAAGGGATGAGTTAACGCTCGGCATCAGTGGTGAAGTCTGCAGCTTGAAAGGCGTAGGTTTTTAATTTGCATGCGTGTATGTGTGTGTGTGTGTGTGTGTGTGTGTGTGTGTGTGTGTGTGTGTGTGTGTGTGTGTGTGTGGGTGTGTGTGTGTGTGTGTGTGTGTGTGTGTGTGTGTGTGTGTGTGTGTGTGTGTGTGTGTGTGTGTGTGGGTGTGTGGGTGTGTGTGTGTGTGTGTGCAGATGTTGAAAGTAACTAAGTAGACTTATAAACTCTTTTTATTAAATACAATTGTTCAATTTCCAAGGTGCTATTACTTTTAGAAAATCGGACTTTCAGAAGGTTATAGGGAGATCCTACATGTATTACTATGTAATTGTATTTTGATATTCACTATATAATTGGTTATGGACCTACCCCGAGCAGCGACAGGCTCATAATCAAAATATATAAATAATTATTTCTCATAAACATTAAAACATTTGTAGATTTTTTAAACAAATGATTACTTATTTCAACGGAAGGCGCATGTTCACATACTTATATACATGTTGAAATACTTTTCCCACAACCATCTTTGTGTGTGTGTGTGTGTGTGTGTGTGTGCGTGCGTGCGTGCGTGCATGCGTGCGTGTGTGTGTGTGTGTGTGTGTGTGTGAGACACTGTTTCCTGTTGTAACCACGTGGCTCAGACAGGGTTAATAAATAGATCAAGTTCACTTCTGTTTTTCTTTCTTCTGAGGAGTCCAAATGCTGGTAAGACCCTGACCGCGTGTGACTTGACTTGGTTTTATTTTTTGTATCTCTGTAATAATGCATTCTGTAATATAAATGCATCATAATATTTGAGACTTAATACTAACATTATTTTTCTATATAAACGTTTCTTTGAGTCCATTTGTTTTCTTGTTTTTCAGTTATAAAATGATGTTAGAGAATGTGCTTGTGTTGAATATAATGTTTGAGAACTTGCCTTTACTCAACCCATCATGTCTTGAGTGTTTGCTTTGGATCGACCAGAAGCTACTGATGTACAGTGTTGTCACCCATAAAGTAGAAAGCACTACTAAACGTCATTACACAGTGTAGTGTTTCCTACTTTATGGATGAGTATACTGTTGGCTGCAAAGGAATGTACAAGAAGAAACCAACGGACTCTGCGTGAAAGATTTGTAAAACTTGCCACCATGACCACCTGCTAAATGTGTCTGTTGCTTTTGTCAAGTAATTTTTAGGATAATAGTGCATGTTTACAACCTGTTACAATAGGAAATGACTCAAATCAATGTAGTAAAAAAAAGATACAACTACAAACAAGTAGCTGAGATCTTTTTATTTAATTTATTTTTAAAATAAAGCATATGAGCATTGTACAAAATCAAGACAGCTTATTTTCAGTTTCTGCTTCACAGTTCTTACATTGATAACATAAATATATTTGTATACAAACATAGATATTTTCGATAAAAACTAAAAGCCAATAATAGAAAAGATAGAAACAGGGAATAAGGCAAACATGGCTACTATATAAATACTGTACACTCTTGTCTTCAAATCAACTGAGAATAAATGTGTATTATTAAGGCTAATATAATATATAATGTATATTGCCATCAGATATGTAATTATAATTACATTTACAGATATACATGTATATAAACATTTATTTCTATAATACTCTTGGCTTATTTTGGGAAAGTGCATAAAGTTAAAGCAAAGTGAATGTAGGCAGATCAAAATATAATGTGAATAAAGATTTGTTTCATTTTTTCAAATGCATTTCATTTGTATTTTTCTGTTCTTTTTTCAGCAAATGATTTGTCATTTTTGTTTGCCAATAAATCAATTATCTGAAAATTGTTAAGACAGGAACTCTTCCCTTGTTCATGTAACATCTTGATCAATCATTTAAATATTAACCTAATAAAGCAAATCATAGAAGCAGTTGCATTGGTATACTATAACAAAACTGCTAAATTCTCAATGTGTTTGACACTTGGTAAGATCTTGGTGTGACCTTTACTATTAATTCCATGGTAGTGGCTGCAAGTAGTTTGAAGGAACCAAACCTCGTCGGCCGTGCAGGTCTCCCTAAAATTGAGATTAAAGTTGAAGTTGTGTCCACAAGTCAGTGCAATAACTAATCAATCAAATACATCATTTTATTTCAATTGTAGAGTTGACACTCACAGGGTAAAATCCATCTTGGTCCATGTCACCTAACACGTTTATGATGTCTCCAGAACGAAAGCCAAGCTCATCCTTTGAGAGACAAAAATAGTTTTGAAACATCACCACAAACCACGCTGTTATTTGAAACAACAGATGACCAGAATTAGCAGAAACACAATGTAGCTCATGTGTCATTGTAGCGCTTACTTCACTGTCTAGGTTAGGGGAACTTTCCCACGGATCGTAGTCAAATAGGGCCACCATTCGTCGAACAACCACATCATCAGAGATAGTGGCTACTTCGCTCATATCCGGGTTAAAACACATACCTGAGAGGCAAAATACACAAAAAACTCGTATGAATTCTTTTTTTTAATTGCACGTTTCTAGAGATCATCAAATCTCCAAAAAATAACAGCTAAAAAGCTGACACTCTTTGAAGTAAGGGCAGAAGAAATGATTAGTGCGGTGTTTCATTCATAATGTTATAATATACACCGATGATATCTTGTCTGTTGCAGTATGTTTGTATTTTTTGTAACTTCCTCCAGGTACACACATACAGCTCAGTGTAAACACAACTATGTTTTGTTATACTACATCTGTGTTAGTGTTCTGCAGGAACAGAGGGTTTATACCTGAGTGGTCCATGGGGAGGAATCCCTGCTGCATGAGTAGATGCTTCAGGTACTCATCATCCACTGGGACTTCAGCCACCATGTTGCTTGGCACATAACCGGAGAGACCCCCGGACTCACCACGATAGAAACCATCAGAGTCTATGTCTCCAAACACCTGATACATGCATGCAGATGTATTACTTTATTTTAGTTATATGGGGGATTTAAGGGATATCTGCATGTTGCAGCAGTCAGTGGATTGAGTGAAAATTCAAATCAATCAGCGAATTAAATCAAAAGGTGACAGGATATTAGAAAAAAGCTGAGATCTCTGCAGCCTCAGCTGAATGTAGCACAAACAGGAAACACCATCACGCAGCCTTTCAACTAATGAGGTGAGGAAATACATACAAGCTAAACATACCAGCACACTTGCTGAGCAGCAAATAACATTTATACACCTTTTCACCTGCTCTTCTTCTCAAGATCAACATCCAGTTGCAAAAGTAAAGAGATCACTTGGTTCTTACCTTGATTAACTGGCCTGGCACAAAAGGCAGCTCCTCTGCAGCCATCTCATAGTTGGGGGACATTGCAGCAGGGTTGTATGGGTAAAGTGCCACAAAGAGTCTGACGGAGGGCATTGGCACCTGGCTCGCAGTCGCAAGCTCCCATTGTGTGACTTCTTCCGGAGTAAGAATCCTCACTTTATCTGGGAATATCAAAACATCCAACTCTCGCCTGGTCTCCATTGACAGCAGCGAGAGCGCTCGACTGTCCCCGTGGCAGGCAGGTGACCGCTGTGGACAGAGGACCTCTCCTTCACTTATGCTAATGTAATGTAACTAAGCTAATCAGGACGAACAGTAATCCTCTTTGGAGAAGTGGAGAGATCCCTTAGCTTAGCACTGCTTGTTGCATTATAAGACTGTACAACACACATAATGGAAGTAATTGTTTGCAAAATAAACTATTGTGTTATTAGGCTATTATTAGGTTATTGGACTGTTTTTTGCTTTAAAAAACTCTGGTATTACAGACCTGACTTTTGCATCTCTGCAGTGGTCAAAACAGAATACCACTCAATACAATAAATCAATAAACAATTGCTCTGGTTGTAGCCATGTCAGTATATTATCCATATTACTTTAAACCAAATGAAATGATAAAGTGTACAGAGTTAGTATCTAACTCCTCCTACTTGACCCAGTTTACACGTCACTAGTCACGCTTGCTCCCTTGACCTCTGGTCAGGTCAGTAGGTGATAATCTTCTCCTGCAGGCCAGCGGATGGTAAAGGAAATAGAGGGAGAACACTGACAACAACATGCTCTATTTTGTCACCAGAGTTTTGTGATTAGACACCCTTAGAAAGGATGTCGGTTTCATTCATTCATATTTTAACAAAATTACACACCCTCAGCCCTAATATTTTAGCTTTTTACCAGGACAAAACGAATAGTCATGTGTGATGTTTTTAAATACTTTTGCCAAAATAATTAAAATGTCGCTACATTAACACATTTAAAGATGTGCAAAATGGCTACACACCCCCACAACCCCCTTTCCTAAAGCAGAAAGCCCCATGAAACAAGGCTAAAAGCAAACGTAAAGAAGAAGTTTTTCTGTTCCGCTTGAACATGGCTTGTTTCCTTGCTAGTGTCCCTAAGCCATCAATCCAAGTTTTACTGCCTCACCAAAAATATAACAAATAACATATCTTTTACAATTATGAGCTAAAATAAATATTTCATACTTCTACAGTTCCACTTTTAAAATCAGGCTTTGAACACATTTTAGAAAGTAGTCTTCCAAATCAAACACCAGACAAAGGCTGGCCACTCATGCAGGTGGCCTCGTGCTAGACTGTTATTTTATATCATGTCTGTTATGAAATACAGACATGATATCACACTCTCACACACTTTCCCTTCAATGTTTAACCAGAAGATGGGGCTGTGAACTAATGTTTATCCCTCTGCTTTAAGTAACACATATTGCTAGTTAGCTTAAGACTCCTCGCATAAACCAGGGTGAAATAATTGAAAGTACTGTTTCACACTGCAGTGACTGACGTTCAAGATGCAGTGATATGAAGCCTCTGCCTTTGATAAGCACTGTCTGCTCTCAGTATGCATGCTTGGAAAATAGCTGCACAAATCCAGCCTCTTCAGCAGAGTTTTCCCTTTGCATCGCTCGTATGGCATGGAGGACAGGAAGTGCTGTCTCAGATTACAGCTCAGGGACGCCCTGTGAGCTGCAAACATGATGATGTCATGAATTAAAGAAAATACATTTAAAAAGTCAGAAAACATGGGGTATCTAGCCAGAATATGTGAAATGTAACCTATACAATTTTAAATAAGCTAATAAAATGGGTGAAGAGGTGTGTCATTATGTCTGTAAAAAATAACCTAGCCATTTCATTCGATTCAAATCTTTACATTAAAAATGTTTCTGGGAAAGGAAGGGGATAAAATAAGAAGTATTTTTCTTATCAAACTGGGAGCCAAATGAGTTTTACCTCTACTAAATGAATAATGGCCACTGAATTTGATGACCGCAATGTTTTTATGTTAGAATAACATTCCAATAACAATTTGTTTAGCAGAGCTCTTTGCTGGCCACTGAAAAAAACCCAAATGTAGACATTAGCAACCGTGCTATGAAGAAAATCCTTGCCAAGTGTGGCCCATATGGCAAGATTTAAGAAATAATGAAAGAAGACACAGAAAAGCTAATAACATCAAATCCAACACAATTTCTCAAATCATGAACATTTCTTCCAAGCTTGCTTTCAGGACCTCCACCTGTCACCAGGAGGATTAGCCCACCAAAGCCCAACTCATAAAGCTGTATTTGTGCCGGTTTGCCTAAGACCAAATGTCATTTTATGATCAGTCCAAGAACACAAGGTGTCTGACCCGCTGGTTCGAGGTCAGCCAGGCTCACTCTCCAGGACCGTGAGGAACTCAGTCTGTGAGAGCCAGCAGGAGTTATTGACTACACAAACGTAGTCAATAACTCCTTGTGTACGGTCGGCCCAAGAGTTTAATTTCCACTTGGGACTAGATGGTTATTGAAATGTAGAATGTCCTATTTTCATACGATATCAGCCTCTTACTGTCCAGCTGCCACTCTCATGATAAGAGCAGATCTGAGAAGTCCACTGAAGGAACATACAGAATGACTTGAAAGGGTGTATAACTTGTTTCTACATAATAGACTTTACAGTTGTAGAAATCCATTTTATGAATCTTACCCTTTGTCATGGGTCCTGGAAGGTATTACACAAGTAATATTATAGTCCCCGAACTGCCCTTCATCACACACACACACACACACACACACACACACACACACACACACACACACACACACACACACACACACACACACACACACACACACACACACACACACACACACACACACACACACACACACACACACACACACACACACACACACACACACACACACACACACACACACACACACACACAAGCAGAAAGAGGCATTTGAGCCATTATCTCATATGAACTCAAACAATATCTGTATTATCAGGTCTTTCGTTTCCCCTATCTTGGTCCCTCTAGTTAAATCTAGCTGGCAGGATAAGGTCGGATGGATGTCCAGTCGAGGATTCAGACAAATGAATTTTTACCAGTTTTCACATGCAGCACGCTCATGTAGCTCAACATGGGCCCAACGGCTCATGCTGCCCAATCAGCGGACCCCCACAGTGAGACCCTGTATTATACCCAGACCACACCTTAATCAATCAGTTTTCACAGGCACCAGAGGACTTCATTTCCCACAAGGCCTTTACCCCAGCTGCTCCCATCCATCCCTATACGCCTGTACTTCCCTTGTATGGAGTGTTACATCATTGGCACAGACACCCACCTTCCTGACTGATGACGCAGCCGAGGGAGAGAGTGAGGAGGGGTGAGGGAGGGAGAGAGGAGAGGGTGTCCCGTCTGCACGGAGCACAGACAGACAGCAGGGAACAGCTGCAGCATTAGGTTAGCGTAGGATTTCACTGCATTGCGATTTCAAATATCAATCATTTCATCCCCAAAACTCAAGTAGAGCAGCTCGACTAAGCAACCAAACATCATTTAAACATGGTTGATCGCGAGCAGCTGGTGCAGAAAGCCAGGCTGGCTGAACAGGCTGAGAGATATGATGATATGGCAGCTGCAATGAAATCGGTAAGTTAATTCAAAAATTAAAACATAATGATTATTATTTGTGTGAATAATGTGCTGCTTTATTTGTGTAATCCCGCAATCTCGACTGTCTGAGGGATTGCACTGCTTCCTTGATATTACCTGCGCTCCAATTCAGAGGACAAATACATATTTTATTGTTTTATTGTCTTGTTAATTGATTGACAGATCAGCCTTTTTTTCTGAGTCTAGTCCAAATCGTCTGCTCCTTGGGCGGTGCCTGTCTGTCGGGCCGTTCAATGAAGGGCTATACTGTAGGGCTCCAATGAAATGCACACAGGCCTGAGTTTGATCTCTCAGTTTATTCGAGCCTCTTATCATATAATGGCTGTGCTCTATTGCATTTTCTGCGTCCCCCCTTGCTTTTACCACCCCACCTCCCCTTCCTCCATTATGCCTAATTTATAAAAGCTTCTGCTGCTGGGAGCCATGTGAGGTTGCTCGGAATCTTTTTTACTGCCTCCTCCTCCTCCTAATCTTCCTCCTCTCCTCTCTTTGAAACATTCATTAAAAATAATATGTATTATCAAAATCTGCTCATCTGTCATACTGTATCCAAGGTTTAGAGGCCGAAAGAGCGTTTGAACTGCTCTTTCCTACACAAACGTAGGAGGCAGCAGAATCTCTCTCATCAGATTTGATTGTGGGCTTTGTTTTCTCCTCTCACTTTATTTCCCATGAATGTGCATTCTCTGTCTCTGTGTCCGCCTACTCTTGAGCAGCAATTTGAAGGCATTTGGGGTAAATGACTGCTCAGGTGTAATATTTGATGAAAAGAGGATCCTCACAAGATCTTGCTCAGCTCTTTTTGGCCGTTGAGGACAGAACCTTTGGTCCGCTCTTCTTTTTTTCTGAAAGAAACAGATTTCCCAGTGGGTTAAAAAGAAAAAAAACTGCTGTGTCACACCAGCTCATAATCAAACCTAGCATCCCGGGAGTCTTAGCCGGGAGCCCTTATGAGCTCACATGCCGATTCAAATTATCATAGGGCATTTAAAGGAGGAAACATTTTCCTGATGTCTCTCGGGAGGGATGGAGCGAGCCACTACGGATCATTTGTCATCGGGGGTTTCTGGTTTCAGGAGGTGGGAATAAGTGTGTGTGCAGGAAGGGATTCCTTTCCCTTTAAACAATCTGCCATGTCAGTGCGGTCCAAACCAGGCCCGTTTGGGTGTGTACTCTCCTTCTCCAATCAAAGGGAATCCCTTCCCATAACAGCCAGAAAATACAATATGACATAGAACATATACATGCTTTGTTCTCATCATAACAGCCTTTTATGCAGTTTTCAGATTTATTTTCTCAGTATTGTTTCCTTTAAAAAAAAAAAAAAAGTCTATGAATATGTCAAGGAAGAGTTTTTCAGGAAAAAGATAGCTTAGTCTTTTGTTCAACCTAAGCTACAAATGTCTCTCTCCGTATGCTGGATTTTAATTATTAATCTGATTTAGGCCATTCAAAGGTTTCTTCTCCAATTAAATAACCCTGAGTCATGTGGCCTCTTTAAAGCCATATCATCTCTTTAAAACCACCCAACTATCAGAACCATCTCTCAAAATCTAAATTTGACAGTCAAACTCAGAGTGATGTCACAGCGTTGAGCTTGAGACAGGTAAAAAGGTCAGTTTGAGTCGGAGATAAGGTCACTGGGACACGTGAACCGCCTGTGCAGTGATGGTTTTCACTTACAGTGCAGCTGCCCGGAGTGCTCGTGGGAACATTTTGGCCATCTCCAACCCTCCTTCCTCCCCTTTCCTTTCCCAAC